CAGCTGCAAAAGATCTCTTTCAAGTGCTGAGGAGCAAAGATGTCCCCTTGAGGACTAAGGCACCTGGCACAAGCCATGGCATTTTCAATCACCTCATATGCATGGGAGAGCTGGACAATGAAAATGGAAGACTGAAGAAGAGTTGATGCTTTTCAGTTGTGGTGCTGGTGAAAAATGCTGAAAGAACAATAGATTGCTAAAAGAACTAACAAATCTGTCCTGGAAGAAGTGCTGCCAGAATGCTCCTTGGAAGCGAGAATGGCCAGACTTCCTCTCACCTACTTTGGTCACGTTGTAAGAAGGAACCATTCCCTGGAGAAGGATATCATGCTTGGTAAGGTGGAGGGTCAATGAAAGATGGGAAGGCCCCCAATGAGCTAAAACAGTGACTACAACAGAAATGATGATGGAGATTGTATGGCAGGATTTTGCAAGACCAATAAATTATTCATTGCAAATATCTTTTCCAACAACAGAAACACTGGCTATACACATGGACCTTGCCAGATAGAATACACAGGAATTAAATAGACCATACCTGTAGAAAGGGGCAATAGAGAAGTTCAATAACATTAGTCAAAACAGGGTTAGGAGCTGACTGAAACAGATCATCAATTGCTTCTAGCCAGTGCAAGTTGAAGCTGAAGAAAATTAAAACAAGTCCATAACAGCAAAAATATGACTTTGATTATATCCCACCTGAATTTAGATAACATCTAAGTAATAGATTTGATGCACTGAATACCAAAGACCAAAGACCAGAAGAGTTGTGGATGGATCAAGAACATCATATAAGAAGAATGTGAAAGGTCATTAAGAAGATGGAAAAGGAAAATCAGATCAAAATGGATGCCAGAAAAGACTCTGAAACTTGCTCTTAAATGGAGAATAGCTGAAGCGAATAAATAAATGTTGAAATAAATTCACTGAACAGAAAATTTCAAAGGTGCTTCAGAAGACAAAGTAAAGTAAAATAATGAAATGTGCAAAGACCTGGAATTAGAAAACCAAAAGAGAAGAATATGCATAGAATTTCTCAAGCTGAAAGAACTGAAAAAAAATTCAAGCCTCCAATTGCAATACTGAAGGATTTCACAGGCAAGATATTGAACAATGCAGGAAGCATCAAAAGAAGAAGGAAGGAGCACAGAATCACTGTACCGAAAAGAATTGGTCAACATTCAGCCATTTCAGAAGGTAGCATATGATCAAGAACAAGAACCAGTGGTATTGAAGGAAGAAACCCAATCTGCACTTACTCACTTATGCCATGAAAACTGGAGGACAGCTATCTGGCCAATTCACTCCTAAGAGTGATATCTGTGCCCATTCCCAAGAAAGGCAATCCAACACAATGTGCAAATCAAAATAACAATGATATATCACCTCACTCCCACAGCAATAGCAAAGTTCAAAAAAACAGAAATAACGTATTTTGGTGAGAGCTTGGAGAGACTGGAACTCTCATACACTCTCCATGTTCAGAGCAAAGAAAATCAAAGACATATGGAAACAATTAGCTCAAGGGACTAGTGGATCATGGGAACCTCAGCCTAAACAATGCTGAGACCAGAAAAACTAGATGGTGCCTGTTTGTCACTGACAACCACTCAGAAAGGGATCAAAATTAGAGATACTGGATAGAGGAGGAGAAAAATGTGGAACAAAATTCAAAATCATATAAAAGACCATAATTACTGGTCTGATAGAGATTGGTGAAACCCCTGAGACTATGGCCTCTAGTCAACCATTGGGCCTGGAAATGAACTCACTCCCATAGCTTAACTTTCAGTCAAACAATAGACAGGCCTACAAGGTGAACAATTACATCAGATCAGAAGGGCAGTATTTTTGCAGGAAGAAAGCTCAGAATGCATAGGAAAGAAGGACACAGGGAAAGCCAGAGAGGAAGTAGGAAATCAATGTCACAAAACAAAATCTCTATCTATGGAAAACAAAATTGTTCTGTAAACTTTCACCCAAATTACAATAAAAAGTTTTGAAAAAAGAGAAGTGAGAGCCAGAACATGAAAAGATGTATGTGCTCTCGTGTTCATAATGGCAGCACTGTTCACAACAGCAAAGAGATGGAAACAACCTAAGTGCACATCAATGGAAGAATGGATAACCAAACTATGGTACATATATACAATGGAATACTATGCAACATTAAAGAATAATGAAGAATCTGTGAAACACCTCATAACATGGATGAACTTGGAGGACATTATACTGAGTGAAATAAGTCAATCACAGAAGGACAAATATTATATTAGTCCACTATTGTAAAAAGGCAAGGAAAGGTTTATATATGGAAGGAAACTTAATTTGTTGGTTACCAGGGATGGGAGGACAGGGGAGGTGAGGGAAAATTGCAAAAAAATACAGTGTATAATGTGGCACTTTACAAATGTATGAGTCCCTTCATAACTATCAGGACCATTAAAGGTGTTTATAAAGTAGTTTTTAACTCTGCTCCTAAGATAATAACCGGAGATGCAGGCTTTAGGTGCAGGAATGAAAGAGGTGTCTTAGTTAAAGTTGAGGGCTGCAAACATTTCAGAATTTAAGAACTCTACTCTTTTATGTTTAGTACTCTGGGGAAGGCCACCAATTGAGATGAATTGCTCAGTACTATGCTTCCCGGCCCATGCAACCCACTTGTTAGAAACTCTGGTAGCATAGTGGCTAAGGTACTTGACTTCTAACCAGAAGGCTGGCGGTTCAAACCCACCAGCCACTCCTCGGAAGGAAG